GACGTCTATATTCATCTTCCATCAAACTCTTATAAACATGGAAAGAAAGTCATTTATACTTACATTTATACTTTCGATTTACGCTTATACGATCAATCGCCATTCCACAACTATCATCACTGATGAAATCAATTCAAAGATTAAATTAAAAGATTAGATCGCTCAACAATCAAATCTTTTAATTTGCTTCAGAACAACGTCTCGTGCGTGCAATATAACTTTAAAAGATATAGAATAAAGTGTCACATATAATATTAAACTCGCCAACTTTAATATCGTGTTTATTACGATTTTTTATATGACACAAATAGCGTAAATATTAATTTCATAATATCTGGTCAAACTAGATCTGTTTATCAATATTCGTAATAAAATAATTGGAATTGTCCGCGTTTTAGCATCTGGTATCGCATGAAATTATTAAAATAGAAACTATGCCACTGTCATAGAAAATATCTTCAGACGCAATACGTCAATATAAAAAGAGACATAATTGCAGTCGCTTAGAAATTCTTCCTCGTAAAGAGCGCGAAATTCATGTTCGCTGCGTGTATCGATGTTCATAGTATTTAAGATGAGGCAACTAAAACCGTAAATATAACACAGTGGAATGATTGTTGTAGTAGAAAGAGAAATAATCATCGTAATAACTTTTTTTTCAAGTCTAAGCTATTGAATTTCTAACAGGGAACATAGATATAGAGCACCACATAGTACCACACCTAGTTTATAATTACCAATAAAATTGCACATTCATAAAGCTATATTTGGTTGGAAAGAGAAGGATATTACGTATTATTGTACTCTGTCTGATATTATCATTCTAAGATCATACATCATCAAATGGAGCAAACCGCTGTCAACGATCACATAGAAAATAACAATTATCCTCGACAACAGATAAAGTAATAATATGAGAAGTCAGACAGATATTGATGTCAATAATCTAAACGTGATTATTAGTACAAAAATAAAAAAAAATAAAAATAGAAATCGAAAGAGACAAAATAAAAATTAATCGTTCATACTAGTTTATATAAATAATTCACATTTTTTCAGGTATACTATATTATAATTATTATAATGTTTTATGTTATAAATAATAATTATTTTCATATGTAGTATGCTCTTATGCCATGCCTTAATACAATTTACCAAAAGTTAAGACCAATTGAACTATATGCTATAAAATTTTAACAGTATTGTGACTTTGATTACACAGATATCTGTATACAATGTGTTGAAAATATTCTCATCAGTAGTATTTCAACCCAATGTTGAATCTTCAATAGACTGTACACGTAGGAAAATCTGTTACGTTTCGCATGAGATGAGATACTTATCTGAAGATTGAGAATAGCGTGACGTGCGTGCGTCTACAAATAAATACATCTTGACAATATATGTACTTCAATGACTATGTACTTCTGCAATCTTCCACAATCTTCCATTCTATATATTTCTTTCACCCATTCTTTCATATTTCCGTTCCCTCTTCGCACCTTTCATTTTCAGTCCCGGTTCCATACTCAAACATGTAAGTAGGCTAGTAGTACATTTCTGTTATTATCATCCTGGTATTAAACGTGACACAAAGAGAAAATAAGCATTAGTGGAATAGTTGTATCTGAAGACAATTTACTCGGTGCTAACTAAACGTTTTGCAAATTATCACCCGGTCAGTTATTGCATTAATACATCAATATTATTTCTTTCGGCAAGTATTTTCCTGGGTTTCTTGTTAATGGCGCAAGAATAAATTCTGCTCTAACAAACCACTATAGAATATAATAAATTAAGCATGTAGGGTAATTTTATGACAAATTGATTATTTATTATCTCAGATACGTTGGCACACAACCATCTAATCAGGGATGTATATTTTATTAATATTTATGCTCCTCATAAAATATTGGTGCACAGTGGTTTTGCATTCTATTCCACAGTGAAGAGGCATGTGGCATACATACATCGGATTAATTAGAGCCCTGCAGACATTAAATTATATTTTCTTATGAGGAAATATAGTAGATTCGTCTTCTAGTCTGGAATGCGGGTTAGGCACGATTAGATGACATGCTTTGATACGTGTATTTCACACATGGACACTTCAATTAAAATTGATCATAAAAATTAGATAAAAATTATTCTGGTTTGCATTAACAATATCGATAATTTAAATATAAATTGTAAAACTTATATATGTATTTTTTATTTCAAATATAAAACGCGTTGATTTTGTGAGAAGTTTTTTTGGCATTTCGGCCATTGAAATTGCGATTTGATTGCGGTCACCGCATTTAATTAGCGCTGATAGGATTATATGGTTCAGCGGCACAATCTATTTCGCAGAAATCGATTCACTAAAAAATAAAACATCGCACGCAATCATCTGACCTATTTTTTTGTACAGAAATAAGTTATTTTTTAATTATAAGATGACGCTAATAAAGTATCGACGTTAAAAACTGCATTGTTACTGCATTGTACCAAAAATTTCAACAAAAAATCCCAGTTTAATCAATACATATAGCATGCTTGACTAAAATTTATATTGGCTCACAATTATTGTGCCACAGTTGCGCGCAGATAGTTCCGGGATATTCTAAATTAAAACAAACAGAAATCGATAAACATATCAAATAATTAAACTAAAGACAGAAGGATAATAAACTTAAATTGCGCCATTAAAATTATATCAAGTCATATAATACTTAATAAGTGGTTTAGAAAGCTCGGTGAATGATCGCGTATTCGCTGAAACGTATAGCGTCAAAATTATGCCAAACAAATAATAATATAAAGTCAATTTAGCGTTTGACCTCAGCGATTGACACAGTACTCTTGCTAATAACTGAAGAAACGTAGCTCTATCGTATCAATACCAAATTTGTATAATAATAGTGGGATATAATTCTATATAATTTAAAAGATTACAACACATTGTACATTTGATCTTTCTATGCTTTATTCATTTTATTGTTAATCAGACTCGACATAGATTCTTCCTTCTTGTTCTTCAATGCAAAATATTGGTTTCTAAATTGGTGTCAGATATTTACATATATAGTATATAGTAATTCTCGAATAACTACACTAAAAAAAAATGTTCTGAATTTTAGTAAATATTAGTTCGCATACAACTGTGACTCTATTTACTAAAATGAAGAAAATTTTCGTTTTTATTAGTATATGTGTATATTCACCGAGAAAAAAATATACTAATAAAAAGAAAATGTTTCTTTATTTTAATAAATAAAGTCACAGTTGTATGTATAAATTAATATTAATATTAAAATCCAGAACATTTTTTCTCAGTGTATAATAGAAATATTTATTACTGGTCCATAATATTCATTTATTATGAAAAGAGAAAGCAAATAAAATAGAATATCATATTAACATTATATATATAGATTTTTACATACAAACATATCTTTTTAAAAACTCTGATAATTTTAAAAAGTAAATAGAAAGAAAAGCAAATTTGTTTTAATCTCTCATTTATAATGTGTTATTTGTCAAGTTATTGATATAAGTTTCATTTAGATTAGATGTCATCAATCTTATATAATTATTATATAATTAGATAATCACTATCTTTTATAATCATTAAAAGATTATGCGCCAGATGTAAGATGCTCTGATGTAAAATGCTTATAAAAGATACTCATAAAAAAAGAAAAATTATCCTTATTAAACGAATTATTATATACTATTATTATTATTATTACTATTATGCTACGCACTTATAAAACGTTATAAAGTTGATTTTATTAATTATTTATGTTATATGGCCGAATAAATTAGAAGAAAGGAACGTTAATATAGTCTTATAATGTACAAAATATTCATATATTTAATAAAAACGTGATCCTATTATTGTAAAAAAATGCCCAGCAGTAAAAAGTTTCTTTATTATCACAACCATGCGAATTAGCAAGGTCACTTATAGCGATATTATCACCTTAAAAGTGAGTCTTCTGTCCCATAAAAACTCATTTGGCAATCAGATGCGCAATTTAAAAATTTAAGCACATCGAATAGAAAATTTAATCACACTATAACAATGCTCATTCATCTGTGCGATACCCACTTGAGAAAATAAAAATGTTATAATCTTGTAATAATATTTATAAAAAATATCGATAGATGTATGCGCATGTGGTATGTAATAAAATTATAAGTTCATATAAATAAATTCTATCCAAAATGTAGAGAAATTATATTTTCATTATAAAAAAGTTAACATTTTATTATATATAAATGCTTGCCAACTTATAAGTGTTATATTTGTAAATCAGAAATATTAGACATACATTATTTTGCTTGCATTCTCTTTTCATAATCAATGAATATTATGGACCACTAATAAATATTTCTATTATAGCTATTCGAGAATTGGCAATTACGGTTAAATAATAAGATACTAAGTCGTGAACTTGACCTGTGTAAATATCGCTTACTAATTAACCAATATTAATATCTTCAGTTATTATTGATAAATTTTTATCATTTTACACGAAGAATCTTTCTGTGTGCCACCATCTCGTGGTAAATCCGCCAAACGCAGATACTGCTGGACGGTTTGTGCGCACGCACCAAGCCTTATCGATGAGAGTCGGCAAAGGCAAAGCCACCAACGATATAGTCGATGGATCGAAAAAGGGAAGGGGAGAGAAGGACAAAACGGCGCTGTGCGTGTGGAAGCGGAGCGTGGTAGAGAGAGAGAGAGAGAGGAGAATCAGTGGCTGGACTCTGGAGCGAGTCAGTCGGCTGGGAGCTGGGTGATCAGCCTGTCTTGTGAACGGTCGTGAGCTACATCACGTATGCCGTTTCTCTAAAGGCTGACAGACTCCCAGCAGGTGTGTAGGTGCAACGAAAAGGCGACGACGATTCGCTGTCACGGTGTTGCGACGGTGAAGTGGGGAAGAGCACGTGAACGTGGTGAAGAAGAGAAGGTACAGGACTGAAGGTCGTTAGAAGGAACATCCCAAGAAATGTCGGGAAGAAAGAAAATAAGAGCACAAGATAGCGCGCCGAAAGAGATAGACATTGATAAACCATACTGGGATCAGAGCACTTACCGAGGAAGGGCATTGCACTTCCTGACAGTAACGAATCCGCTCAATGTCTTCGCCACGAGTCAACAGCTTGAGCACGCGCGTGATGTCGTCACGAAATACAGGTAGTCGTCGCTATAATTAGTATTTCTTTTCCTTTCTCGCAGTTGGAATACGTAATCAACACGGTGACGATATATATCCATCATACATACATAAAGAGTTGTATGTGTTAGCATTATATGTATATAAATGTTACCACATTCTGTTACACATTTGTTTACGTCTTGAGTTGGAGTAATTTCCGATTACTACTGATTTACTTATCACGCGTTAACTTTATCGAAGAAAAGATTGCAACAAACAATTGTCTAACACACGCCGTAATTATCTTTATTATATATTTTTTACGTTTTCTAAATCCTTATCTCTTCTAAATTATCTTTTCTACTTGTATGTTAATGTGACCTGTGTATTTTTTTTTATTTATTTGTATAAGTATGAAATAATAATCCGTATACAATTATACAACTTTGATGTCGTCGCAGACAGGGCGAGGCCTTGGAAAAACAAGGAATCACTGAATACGAATTATGGAGATGCAAATATCTATACGACAGTGCCTACCACCCTGATACCGGCGAGAAAATGCTGCTAATAGGGCGTATGAGCGCGCAAGTTCCCATGAATATGATGATAACCGGCTGTATGATGACATTTTACAAGTACGTAATTGAAATTGTTGACACACAAAAACTTAACGATAACGTAACGATAAGAACACTCACAAATACTATGACTTTCAATGCTTTATAAGATATCTTAAATATTATTAGTCTTACAGTAATATTTCGATAATTGGCTTTTACATTTTTCGAAACGGGGTCAAAATTTTGAACAAAAGTAGATAAAAAAAGATTACTTAAATTATTTCTCAATTATCACGATTATCTCCTCGATTATCTCCTCAATCTCGAGTAAACGTTTAGAATAATTGAAACGTTGCAAGAAACCAGTTTAGAAAATTAATGACATTTAAGAAGTCGTTGAAAAGATTGCTGATTATTGTCTCCGTAATAGTTGTTAGAAGTCCGCGATTATATCGCGATGCATTATTTATAAATCTCTTAGATCAACGCCGGCTGTAATTTTCTGGCAATGGGTCAATCAGTCGTTCAACGCCATAGTGAATTACACGAACCGTAGCGGTTCGAGTCCGATTCCAACGGAAACGTTGGCGCAGAGTTACATCGGCGCTACAGGAGGCGCGGTGATAACGGCGCTGACCCTGAACCGTCTCGCTCAACGTGGACCACCACTGGCAGGCCGATTAGTGCCATTGGCGGCAGTTGCCGCAGCTAATTGTGTGAACATCCCTCTCATGAGGGTCACCGAACTTCAAAATGGTATTGAATTACAAACCGAGGACGGCACGAAAGTCGGGCACAGTAAACGGGCGGCTAAACAGGCGATCGCGACTGTAACGTTATCGCGAATACTTATGGCCTCTCCGAGCATGGGTAGGTTTCATTACACTTATTTCATTAATCAAGTCTCTTAATGAATTTGACACTGAGAGTCGATTACGCTGACTTTAATGAAATAAAGTTTTTTTTATAGTCATATCACGATATGCGGCATACTATTCATTAAAAAAAGTTGCATAAATAACTATATTATTATTATATTAACTATTTAAATAATACTAAATTTGTAATTCTAAATTTGTTCTAAATAAATTTCATCTCTTTTAAAACAATCAATTAAGCTCGGTGTAAACATCATTTATGAAGATATATTTAAAAATGGTTTTATTTTATTTTATTTCATTGTTGCAGTACTGGCGCCGATAGTAATGAATTACCTAGATCGAAGGCAGCTATTGCGTAATGCGAAATGGGCTGCTGGACCAATTCAAGTTTTAATTTGCGGAGTGTGTCTCACTTTCGCAACGCCGCTTTGCTGCGCACTTTTCGCTCAACGCGTTCCTATCTCGATAAATCAACTGGAACCCGACATACGAGAGCAAATACGATCACACGATGCCGGTCTGGAAACTGTGTACTACAATAAGGGCCTTTAAACGATATAGAGCAGACCATCGTGCGGCATATTTTTACCCGCATATTTTTACCGATCCGAGAACATGGCCTATTCTTGAAACTCAGGTATACACGAGACATTTCCAAACACAATACTCGAAAGCACATATTATTATCGCGGACTTCCAACGATTGCGTAAGCGATTCGTTCTTGTTGGTACTTAGCGCAGACAGTGAGACAGACGAGACGCGGTCCTATTCAAGTATCGCTATCACTGAGTGCGCGTAGCTTTGTGTAATAAAAAATCGGCAGGGGATTATAAATTATAAAAATATAAAAATAACTTACCGGCCGATGCGCAACAGCGGAGTTATAAGTTGTGACCCTGCGTTGATCTGTAACAGAGAAATATTTTTACATTAAAGCAGGGTTAGATATCCAAGATAATCGACGCTTGAAATAAATGATTATATCGCGCCCGTTAAACTGTTAAAACATTATTTTATTTAATAGATATTCAATATATCATCCAAATTCTAATGCAAGAAGCAATCGCGGTCGCCGCGGCGCCGGCGCGGCGCCGCGGCCGTAAGCAGTTGCATACTTCCACATTAACTAATTCGCATAATTAATCCGCGGAAATCCGCGAATCGTGCGCAAGTAATATTACGACCGTGCCAATAAGAGAGAGAGAGAGACGCGACGTTCGCGACGTCATATGCGGAGATCGGAGATCGAACTCCGAAATTGCGAAATTGCGCCAGAGTTAAACCTCGAACGAATAACGAGTATCACGTAATATAATCAAGTCGCGTTTGAGAAACGGAATCCGCCACAGGACTGACAGGATAGCAAAATAATAAACAAATAATTACTCACCCCACGGTTGCTCCGCTGTCGCCCGATGCCTCCCAGGCCCCCTCCTCCTCTCCTCGGTCCTCCTTCGTTGTCGCATCTCCGTTGACGTGCACTCACTCACTCACTCACTCACTCACGACGTTCACGATTTTCACGAAAATCGACGATATCGACGCTCATGATCGCGCGATACTTTTGACACTTTCGACACTACACCGGTATTAATCTCGCGACGCGGCACGTACTTTGTTACACGGCGATGGAACAATTACGAACGAAACTGTACGATAATACGATTCACTTGACGCTCGTGACGCTTCACGTCTCGCAGTCCCCGCAGGTAGACACGGCGCGGCGGAGAGAATTTCGTTAATCCAGTTAATCGCGCGGCCAACTTCAACTCGCCAGCAGCAACTGTCGCGAGGACGTTACACTTGTCACTTGTAAAGCGATTTTAGTTAACCGCAATTAAATCATCGATTTATGAACACGATGTCTGTCCTCCACGATATCCAAATATCACACGAGGTTAAACGACGCGACGTTAACAGAGACTGTGATTAAACACGTCGCGGAGTTACTCGAGTTAAGATTTTAAGAGCCACTCGTATCCTTTATCTGTGTTCCAAAAACGACGGCAACTTCATTCTGAAGCCGTGCGACACGACGCGAGACGCGAGTCAAGTCGACGCGACGGTTGAGAAAAGCGAAACCGATTATTCGAAAGAATGTAATTGAATCTCGGTATCCGTATAAATTCCGCGTAGCACATTAAATGTACACTCGATATATCACAGTTTTTCACAATCTAAACAATCCGACCCGGCGATTCATGTATTTATTCCGCGATACGATACGGGAGCGGGAGCGCGGGAGCAACGACGTCACAACGAGTTACGAGCCACGGCCGCGCCGGCTGCGGGCGCCTCGAACGCCGCGGTAACATGAGTAGTGGGGATAGAGTGGGGGTACGGTGATTACACACGATGCGCGTTCCTGCGTGTGCGTAGTCAGCCTATCCCGCTCTATCCCTACTGCTCCATGTTACCGCGGGCCCGCAGCCCGCGGCCCGTTTCGACGTTGCTCTCGGATCGCATCGCGGAATAATATAAGTACGAATGGTCTCTCAGGGTGGATTGTTCAGATTACAAAAAACTGTGATATATCGAATGCTAATTTTAGGCCGTTTCTACGATCAATCGTACGTCAAAGTCGATCAATGTCGGAACGGAACCGATGGTCCAATAAGAAAAATTCGTTTTCTAAAAAGAAATCCTCTCATTGGACGATTGAACCATCGGCTGCGCGACATACGACTAATTGTAGAACCAGCCTTAATACAATATGCTTCGCGGAATTTATACGGATACCGACTACCGAGGTATATCGCATTCGATAATAGTGACTTTCGATTATATTTCTTCGGGTGATTGCGGTCTCGCTTCTCTCAACCGTCAACTTGACTCGCCTCTCGCGCGGCTTCAGAATGAACTCAGAATAAAGTTTTCGGAACACAGATACGAGTGGACCCTAATGGCCTCGGTGAACCAGCGTGCAGCGTAATTACGTAGCGCACGACAAAATCGTGCTGGTCTGCCGACTGACGAGGTCATAAATCGAGTAACTCCTCGACGTGTTTAATCACAGTCTCTGTTAACGTCATCGCGTCGTTTGATACACCTCGTGTGATATTTGGATATCGTGGAGGGTAGACATCGTGTTTATAAATCATTGATTTAATTGCGGTTAACCAAAATCGCGTCACAAGCAGCAAGCGTAACGTCCTCGCGACAGTTCGGGCAGTTTCGGACAGTTACGCCTGACGAGTTGAAGTTGGCCGCGCGACTTACAAAATTCTCTCCGCCATATTAGCGTCTACCTGCGGGTTGCGAGACGTGAAGCGTCACGGGCGTCAAGCGGATCACATTATCATACAGCTCCGTTCGTAATTCTTCCGTCATCGTGTAATTAAGTACGCGCCGCGTCGCGAGATTAATACCGGGAGTGCCGTACAAAGTGTCGAAAGTGTCGCGCGATCATAAACGACGATATCGTGGATTTTCGTGAAAATCGTGAACGTCGTGAGTGAGTGAGTGAGTGCACGCCAACGGAGATGCGACAACGAAGGAGGACCGAGGAGAGGAGGAGGGGGCCTGGGAGGCATCGGGCGACAGCGGAGCAACCGTGGGGTGAGTAATTATTTGTTTATTATTTTGCTATCTTGTCAATCCTGTAACGGATTCAATTTCTCAAACGCGACTCGATTCACCTATTACGTGATACTCATTTATAAGCTGGCGCTAGACTATGCGCGATTCACGGTTCGCCATTCGCGCCGATTCGCCAGCGGAGCGGTTTTCTTCACGAAATCAAAGAGATGAAATTCATCTCATTCGAGTCTAGCGCCAGCTTTTAACTCCGTTCAAGGTTTAACTCCGGCGCAGTTTCGCAATTTCGGAGTTCGATCTCCGATTTCCGCATATTACATCGCGAACGTCACGTCTCTCTCTTATTCGCACGGTCGTAATATTACTTGTACGATTCGCGGATTAATTTACTCGCGGAACGAATTAATACGGAAGTACGCAGCCGGTTGCCGGCACGATATAATTATTTATTTCAAGCGTTGATTATCTTGGATATCTAACCCTGCTTTAATGTAAAAATATTTCTATGTTATAGATCAACGCAGGGTTACAAGTTATAACTCCGCTGTTGCGCATCGGCCGGTAAGTTATTTTCTTATTTCAATGTCGAAATGGATTTATCAAATTACATTACAAAACGTAAATATAGTATAAGAGAAATGAGATATAAAAGAATCACGAACAGTCCAACAATTATTAAACACGATGTTGAAATTTTTATTTACAATGTTTAATGTAGCGGTAAAATGTTCTAAATTTCTTAATCATGAAATATCTTTATTGAATATTATTTTCCATTTATTACAAAAAAAATTAAAACATTAAAGATAATATAAAGGTATATTAAATGAATTAATATATTATAATATATTAGTATGTATCTCCATAAATAATCGACGTTCATATGGTTGTGAGATGGAGATTTACAAAAACTATCGTATCAGGGTGTCTATTCAAATCCTGAAAAAAAAGTTTACTAAAAATTCCCTGATTTTCCTCGTGTTTTTCGTTCAAATCTTCATATAAAAAGTTTTAAATTCCAGTGAAATATCCTAATCTTTTCAGATAAAAACAAATTACTGCAATGAGAATTTTTTAAATTTCTTAGGTTTTTCTAGATAGTAGACAGTAGACACCCTGCTTACGAAACGAGTTTCTTATTATTAATTATATACGTCCAAACAAATACATACATATCTCTTCTTTTGCGGCCTGCGTACGTATGACGAACATTTTAAAAAACTTAAGAGATCTCTAAATGTTCTTTCTTGTCAAATGAGAAAGGGTAACGAAGACAATAAAACACTTCAAAGTTGAATGTTTGAAACGAGCGTTTATTATAAACCTTCACTGCATATATCTACAACCGCAATTTATCCGTGGGATAGCTTAAGCATTGTGACAACTATTCAAAACAAGAACATTGGGAGGTGCCGATTTTTCATCGCCAACGCGTTGTACGCGAGGAGGCGGTTTGATTTTACGGCCGAATCTACCAGTTTTGCGTTGCCAGAGACCGCTCCTCGGTCGATTTCCCAATTCCCGATTTTTTCCCGCGCTACCAATTGGCGTGGAATCGTGCTCGATATTCGATAGTCGACCAACCGTAGCCATGCACGCCTCGTGCAAGCTAAAAAGTTTCTTACTGGGCATTTGTACTACCACGCGATCGCCGTCTCGCTTCACAATTGTTCCGACGGTACCGGCACCGTGGATGAGGAACCCACCCAGTCCGGGATATTTCTCTACGCAATGAACAGGGGTTCCCGTGGGTAAAGCACCGAGAGGATAGGCGTCTCCCTCCGAGGGTCTCACAGGATTACGCGGTATTCCCTGATGGGTACGTATTATATCGCCCGGCTTCATGTTCTCCGTAGCTAAAATGTACTTGAGTTCCCGACCGGTACCGACTAACGCGACAAAAGACGTTCTACAACCGTCTTTAAAGACCTCTAGGACTTTCTCTTCCTTTGGCGGCTCATTAAGGTCCTTCGGTCCATCCCTGATCCACTTGATCCAATGAAACTTGTGCTTTATGCCACCCCCGATACCCTTGGCTACTAGTCTACCTGTTTTAGTAACACAAAAGCGATTTATTTTCCTAGCGGTTACATTTAACTTTGAATAAGATGCTTCAGCACAAAATATTCACAAGTCACATATTTTTGAAGGAAATATTTATCTCGATTAAAGGTATCGATATTAGATGAAGATTGAATTAACTTTAATTCACAAAAATGGTCTTTTCTAACGTTGCGATTATCTATCATACGAATGACTATTTTATTTATAAATCTTATAAAACAAATTATATCTATACGATACGTAATACTATACGATATAAAAATTATATCGTATAAATATGTGTACACATATCGATATGCCCGTAATAGAAAAAAAACCTTCCTCAACGAAATAACGTGTGCTTGTGCCTAATCTAAGTCGATACGTTAGTTATCTGCATTATCTTCCAGTAGTTTTCTACTTTATATCAGCACTCAGCACTATCAGCAGAGGTCACTTGCTTTTAACGAGTAACGATCTATACACGGCAAGTTGCCGTCGGCAACGCACATATCACGCACATGTATGTACAGCGTTCGGTTGAATAAGTTTCATTCTCATTAATTTGTAAAGAAAACTACTAGTAAAAGTAAGATACTACGTATATACAATCTAAAAAGGAAGATAACACTGGAATAACGATTTTATCTCACGTACCTGTGACAGGATCTCTGCCTGCTAGATTCGTAACTTCTAAAGGCTCCACCGTATACTCGTCCTTGTAATGGACGATTCTTCGGAAGGCTATGCCGGTGCCCGGTTCCGGTAGCTTCACGAGTTTCCATTTGTACCTTCTTGGCGCCTGGGACAACACCGAGACCGTTAAACCGACGAAATTAGATATTTGTTGACCAAAAACGCGACGTGTCAATGCCACGGCAGACATCTTGGATCAGATTGAACCATATGTTATGTATACATTCGGTATTTCAGTTAGTGGTGCCATCTTGCCCATCTTTTCGAATTCAGCTCTCGTCGTAGCTCCAACAAATCTCGCATCTCGCCTCACCATCGGAAAGTAAAGTAGATATTAGCTGATGTTGTTTAATATCAAGCGTAGCTGTAAACTTCAAGAATGATCAAGAGAGTTCACTGCTGGTTTAAAGTTTATTTTCGTAATGCACGATGCAATATAATCTTTTAAGATTTTTATGATACAATTTTTGAAAAAAGATTATTATAGTATTTTATATTTTCGTATACATATATTATACTGATATACTCGTATTTCATATTCATGCTAAACCGAATGTGGCAACACTGCATTTTTGAGAGAAAGAACAGATGTTAATTATATAAATTAAGCAACCGATTTAAAAAAAATTCTATTTTTTTTACTTATCATGACTTGCGATAAATTAATATATTTTCAAAAATATTTATAAAACTAAAGAGACAACTCTCTATCCATATATTTTACAAAAATTTACTACACAGACTTTTATTAAATAAATTTAGTAATTCTTACACACAATACGCGATTTAATCTTATCAAAATTTTTGTCGCACCTTCGAAATCAACGCAAAACCGCATGATCAAAAAAGCGTGTCTATAACTGCGACGATAATAACGCTGAAGTTTAGTCGCGCGAACGCGCATAGATATAACGTGCCAATTAGTCGACATCTCTTAAGATTTTGGTCACGCAGAACGATAACGAATAAACGCTGAAATAACATGCCGCATTATTATATCGGCAAAGGCCGCGCATCGTCCATGGAGAACGCGCACGGGGTCCCACATAAAGGAACGAGCGAACGGCGTAGAGGGGAACGCTTAATTGGCCCGGGGTAATTATTTTATTAAGTGAGAAGATGGCGGATGGAATGCTAAGAGAGAGCACGCTGGTGCGGTCTGCCGACTAGGGGACGCCGACGGAAACGGTTCGGGGCTCAGGGGACGGACGGGAAGAAGGGGTGAAAGTGAGGAGGTGGCAGAGTCGGGTAGCGCGACAGCGGTGCGGCGCGGCGCGGCACGGCGCGACGCGGCGGGTGACTGTGTGGAGAACGTTTAAATACCTACGTACCCACCGACGATTGTACTCCGTCAGAGCGACAGTTTTCCGTGTAGGTGAAACGCGGCCGCAACTCTCGGTCGTGTACGTATGCATATATACATGCCTTACGTGCACGCGCAATTCTCACTGTCACGCACGTTCATGCGCCTGCCTCCCCCGGGCCCTCGTTCCCTTGTCTCCCTTTGTCTTGCCACAGAGAGAGAGAGAGAGAGAGAGAGAGAGAGAGAGAGAGAGAGAGAGAGAGAGAGACGACAGCGAGGGAAGAGGCCGCGAGATAAAGGAGGATAGGGTATGCTTTTGCGCGCGCGTTCAGCGTCTCCGCGTTGGTCGTGAAGGAGGAACATCTATTACCCGGTACATAGACCGGAAGGGGGGTCGGAGGAGGTGGAGGTTGGAATCGTCCAGGGAGGGGTGCGGGCAAGAGTAGTCGAGCGGCAAATTGTCCGCCATCTTACCCACCTTATACCTTATCTCACACCCTCGCCCGTAACCACCCTTATCCACTCCTTCCTCCGCTATGCTTTCCTCCAACCAGACCCTCTCACCCTACACATTCCGTTCTCTCCCGCCCTCCCGCTTAGCCTACCTCTTCATCGTCCTCTTCCTCCTTCTCTCCTTCTCTCTTCCTCTCTCCCTCTTACCTCTCCGTCCCCCCCCCCGCCCGCCCTTTCTCTCGACAGCCCCCGCTGCGCCGCCGCCTCCAAAGCTTTAGATTACCTACCCCTTATAAGCGCTCGTGTTGCCCATTTATTACCACGACTCCCGCGACTACCACGACCGAAAGACCAACCGCCCCCACTTCCTTCCCCCGAGCTCCCTTTCATCCTTCACCGTTTTCCACCGTTCATCTCTCCTTCCTACCTCCTACCACCTTCCTAGCACCCCGCATCTCGCGTATTTCCTTCGTTTCTTCGTTCTGTTCTCAAGCACCGCCGCGATCCTTATTAACGCTTTAACGCTACCATTACATAACTACGCGTGCCCGCTCCCCGACTCGGGTGGCTCGAATAACACGATTAGTCGAGTTTACAGAGAATTACTCATACTAGGAACTATGTCTCCCTGAAGCGCGTCGCTATACGCTCTATTCGTCTAGATTTAACAGCGATCGAGCGGCTCCCGAAACAAGCGGCAGTTAACTAACCAACACTCTCGTATTGTGTTTATGTGTTACCGCTATCACGACCAACGCGACAACTCCATTATACTTTGTTTTCAGAGTCTTCTTCTTAATCTTTCTTTATCTTAATCGCTATCTTTTCGTTTTTCATTATTCTCGCACTTTCCCCTCGATGTTGTTCCTCGATACTTATCTTCCAACAGTTTTTTCATCTCTTTTCTTTCGTTTTCCAACATTGCCCCACAGTCTCTATTATTCTACGAATTATATATGTCAGAGGTACATCTGTTTGAAAGGTAGCGCTGCTTCCTATCTACTTCTCAACCACGAATAATATTAATCATGTTTGCAGAGAATTACGAATACGAGAGCCGCAATTGTTCAGGGTGTACTATTATTCCCTATTCGCTTAAAATTTAAAAGAACGTACGATTTTCTAAAGAAAATTATGCTTGTATTTATGTTGTTCACGCATTAATCAGCAAGTTCGACATTTTTTCTGAATAATTTTTGTGAGTGAAATAGATTGCCAAAATTTCCTCGCACATTCCTTTCTCTATTCTCTTTTTTATTTTGTTGTTTTATGGTTTATTTTCACTTAATTGTCAACCACATCTAACATTTCCTTTGTTTCACACTATTCCCGAGCACCTTATTATCTTCAACGCGTACTATTATATACCTATACGCTCGCGGTTTACGGCGAGAGACTCAAATAACACGATTAAACGAGTTTACGACGAATTACGTGTATTAGAGCTATACGTCTCTTCAAAGTGACTCCCGCTTTTATTCATTTAGAGGCACAAATTATCGAGCTCTTCTTCACAATGAGAAACTACAAAGCGATATTGAAAGGTCACGCTTTGGAAACGTATGCAACAATCCTTGTCAAACATACTAATTTCTCCTGAAAATTATGGCTCTAAGCTCTTCCATTATCTCGTACATTTAACACTAAATGTGTCAGATTCCATGTGCTTTATGTGCTTAATATGAAAATCGCATACGCGCAATGTAAATAGATGAAATGGGACAACGCAATGAGAATTAGACAGCTACATTTACCGCTAAATGTGCGTTTAAAATTCAAATGTGTTGTATACTTCTGACGTAACTCGCGCTAAAGCTAAAGCTCGTATATTTATTTTGCAACAGTGCGATAATTAACTTGTACATGCCTGTATCACGAAAAGTCACGGTATTGTTCGCAAGGTGAGCAGCACACTCACTTTTCGCGACGCGTGCTATTTAAAATTAACATACTACTTTATTCTAAAGAGTTAAAAGTTGCAATTGCTACGTTATAAGACAATATTTTTTATATATAATATAATGAGAAATAAGGTTTGACGTGTTGTGCTAAAGCATAATATAGCATACAATTATCGTGCTTTAAAATTTTTATTCTTAAACAAGGCGTAACTGCAACGTTGTTAAATACGGTCGGTCTCGCGATAATGGCACGCAAGTTATCCTATATTGATCACAAGCAGCGGTATTTAATGCATACCGCACGGTAATTTTCACGCGGGATTTTCGCCGGCTGAAAAATAACCCTGATATTAGACACGCGAAAAAAGTTTGAGGAGGCGAGAAAAAGCCCGAAGGAAAAAAGCCGAGAATGGCGGTCGATGAAACGTTTCCACTGGGACGAGTTGGAATAAACCGCGCGCGGAAAGCTGCTGCGGGGGAGGAGCAATGAGCGAAAGAGGAAGCGAGAACAAGGGTGGGAGAGCGGAAAAAAATTGGGCCCGCGCGCAACCACGAGGAAGATAAAGAGAGAAAAGTAGAAAGGGAGGTAAAAAGACAGATAGAGAAAGTGAGCCGAAAAGTACGACGCAGGGATGGCATTTCGCATTGTAAAGTTTTCCGGGCGACCGCAGGAAAAAGGGAGGACAACAGGAATAAGGACGGCAGAGAGGATAACGCGGATACACGAAAGACGAAAGACGAAAGACGAAAGACGAAAGGAACGAGAGAGGAAAGTGGTCTCGGTTGACGGGCGGTTGCTTCGGCCCTGTTCTCGTTCGTTTCCTCTCAATTCGTCGGCCAGCGGCAGCAGAGAGAGATCTACACACGGAGGACGGGGGGAGGGGCGGGAGAATGGAGTCGCAGGATGACGCGAATCGAGAGAGTCGGCGGTGGGAGAGGGAAAGAGATCCGCGTGACGAGAAGGGGAGTACAGGAGAGAGCTGCGAAGCATTACGCAGGATGGCACGACTACGGGGATGCTGCGCGAGAGGAATAAAGAGCAAAAGAGAAAAGGGGGGAATGGAGAAAGAGAGAAAGAGAGAACGGAGGCAGCCACGCCGCGCCGGTAGGATGACGGGACTGTTACGAAGAGGTGAGGAGTCAGGAGGATACGACCGAAGGAGGGTGCAAATAATAACAATAATCATATTTCCCGGCAACATGGCCGCTGAAAGAGGGTGGCCGCCTGGTATACGCGCAGGAGGGAAACGAGAGGGAGAGCGAGAGCGAGAGAGAGAGAGAGTAGGAGGGAGGAAGGCAGCCAGGCGCAGGCAGGGAGGGTTATCATAATATTACAAACCACCGCCGCAGGGACGTATCTATACAACCCCTCACCCTCGTTCGCATTCGAGCCCTCCTCGCGCTCATTTCTACCACCGCTCGTTCTCCCATCATTCCATCCTCCTTCCCCCGCCCCCTGCCCGCTACTTGCATCCTTCTCGCGGAGATTCGCGTACACGGTACCTAAGTTCCCCGCGCGCAATTCGCACGAACGGTCGCATCCGGCAATT